CAGTGAATGTGTGTTACTTATGCAGGCCATATTGAACTTTGAGAGTTAGAAACCACATTTCCTTCCCTCACAAGGTTATTCACAAAGCCAGTTTCACTCAGTTCCACATTGTTGCCTCAATGCATTTAAAGAAGGGGAAGAGATCTAATTACTAAACTTTGAACTCAAAATCTAGTGTGTGTGTTCTAACAGGTTCTTTTAGATTCCAAAGCTTTTTCATAGCCAGTGTCAGTTACGTACCTATTTGTTGAGAAAGTTCCTTGTAATAGGCATGTTGCCTTTACAGGTCTACTGTGAAGTCTACTCTACAAGTCTGGTCATTCCCCAAAGTTATCTGGGATGACTCAGAATGAGAAGTGGTATGTACTAAAATACTTGTAGAAGAAAATACCAATAAGAAAATGCTCACCAAAAATGGAACGCAAAAAAATGGAAGCATGGAAAAGTCAGTGTTCTCTTTGAAGTAGAAGCCACAGCCTGTTATTCATCTACTTAGTACCTTCATATCTCCTTAATTTACAGGCTAAGTTCTCAGCCTCACCTGGCATCCAAGCTCTTTGTAACCATGCCCCAGCCTCATGTAGCTCAGGTCTTGTCTTTGTTCTCAGTTTTCCAGCAACAGAACCCCTTCCCTTCTTCCAAAACACCTCTCTCTTCTATTTCTCCTGCTTTTGTGCATGTCATCCATGCGCATAGTTAGACTCTGTTTTGACTAGCAAACTCCAATACCATCTTCAGGACCAGCTTACACAGCACTCCTCTGAGACACCTGCTTCTGTGTGTCCTCAGAGCCTGTCATCCGTCCATCTGTTATACCACTCTGCATGTAGTAGCAGTTATTTACGTGTCTTAGTCTCTATTAGATTTTGAGCTTCAGGGAAAAACTAGGTCTTTTGTCTTTCTAACCCCAGGCTGGCACAGAGTCTGCTACATAGTATTTGTGGCACTGGAAAGGGGACATCCTCCAGAGTCTTTGTCCTATGATGTGGACACTTGCTGCAAATGACAGCAAATAGTAGCTAATAATTATGAAATGCTCCCCATGTGCCAGGAACTGGAGTATACACATTCTCAGTCTCATTTATCCCACCACAACTTCATGAGACTAATGTATAGCTTCACCTATCTTCCAGATAAGAAAATTACACCAAAGCATGATCAAGTTGGGATTTGAACCCACCTCCTGAACTGTGATCTTGACCAAAGCTTTATTTTCCTCACCTGAATAATGGAGATGATAGTACACTTGATAAGATTCTTTTGAAGATTTAATGCCATGATTTTTGTGAAGCATTTAGCACAGCACCCAGTGAGTATAGCATCCAGATAGTTTTCATCAACCATGATATACTAGGTCCCTCTGGTAGCAAGAGACAAAGGATGTATTTGAACTCCAGGTCTCTCTAATCATAGAGCTGTGCTCCCAATGTCCCTTAACTCTGATGCTCATGGACCACCCAGGATGCTCCAACCTTGAAATGCAGGGAAAACAATCATGGACACTTTGTGTCTTTAGCAAAGCAAAGGCTCTCTCCATCTCAGAGGTCTCTGGGGAAGCTTTGGAAGGCAGAAGCAAAGAGCCTCCACCACCCATCACTGCAGAACTCAGAGAACAATGTGGGAACTGTTCAGTAGCTTGGCAGCTTAGGCAACAACCCACTCAGTAAACATTAAGATGTCACCAGCACTCGTTAGGTCCCAGCACTAATTATTTATTTTCCCAAGGAGAATGAAGGTGTGGTCCTGGAGCTCTGGGATTCAGTCCTGGATAAGCTGGTTCCTTTCTTATGACCTCAGGCAAGTCATTTCATGTGCACCAGTGTGAGTCCCTGGTAAAGCTCTAAAGGGTGAGGTGAGACCTTCGCTGAGCCTGCAGGAACACAAGTCTTTTGAACACCATTGAGCCAGGGCCAGAGTTTCAGATGAAAACATCAGTGACTGCTTCATTCAAAAATTATGCTTTCTTAAGGAATTAGTTTTATGGAGGCAGTCTATATTAATGTGCCCAGTAGCCAATTCCCAGACAAATGTAGGTCCAACAAAAACATATTTTTCACTGAAACTAGAGAGCTATTTAAAAATATATGTGGAGCTTTTCGTAACTCAAACCATTGTAGTTGGTAGGTAACAATTCAGAAATAAGTATTTTAAATTGGGTATTTGAAAGTAAGGCAGGTTCCAGTGGCAACTCTGTTTCCACTACAATGCCATCTCCTAAAGGGAGACATACAACAGAGTTTATTTTAAAGGGTACTATTTTAAAAATATGATTGAATACATTTTTATAAACATCTGGGTGAACAGGTAAGTTCCCACTTTCCTGACCACTCTGTACAACTCCCACAGGTGCACATTAAATGAAGTAGTCTTGCAGAACTAGATCATTGTTAGGCTGGTCACATTCAGCTCCCTGGCTTTCAGTTCTTCATGCATGTTTGAAGAAGGCAGAGGGTCCTGAGTTGTCCTTGCCCTTCTCTTTCCTCTGCCGAACAATGTCAGAATTCCCACCTGTCCAGGCCCCTCTGACCTTCAGTGGTTGTCAATTTTTCAACAAAACCACATTGCATATGAGTGTTACTTGGCTGGGGGCTGCATGTGTTGACATTCCATCTCTGAAATGCTCAGCAAACTCCACTCTCTCACCTTAGCAGAAAGCTGGGGTATGTGTAGGGACAGACTTGTCTACATGCCTGCGTGCATGTAATTGCCCAGTCATATCTGTTGTTCCACTAGCAATAAAAATCCAGCAGGGAAATGAATGCTAAAATTAGTTTGTTTGTCCTTTGACAAGATCTCCCCAGTTGAAAAATTTTTGTTTATCTAACTGGCTGGGCAGACTTTGCTAAGATCAAAATTAATTGCCTTGGTTAATGGTGCACGAGGTTGTATTTTAAAGAGCTTCCACTGCATTCTCCTTGAGAGGACATTGGATCTAAGACGTCCTCTGGCAAAGTTTTTTGCATTTAGGTGTAGGTGTTTTTTCCCTCCTTTTGCTAGTTGTATGGATGTACTACTGCTGTACTCTTAAGTCACTATGCCTCTTGGAAGGGTAGATGGACAGATAGATAGATATATGACTGGACAGATGGGTGAATGTGGGTACAGTGGCAGATAGTTTCATTTGCCTTGCTATATGCCTTAGATGTCAAGCTTACTAGCACTTAAGAGGAAATAACCCTGTAAGCAGTGTCCTTGCAGAAAGTGTTTGCTAAACCCCATCCTGTGCTACATCCCAGCTACTCAGGAGACAGAGATCAGGAGAATCACAGTTTGAAGCCAGACAGAGCAAGTAGTTGCGAGACCCTATCTAGAAAAAACCCTTCACAAAAAAGAGCTGGTACAGTGGCTCAAGGTGTAGGCCATGGGTTCAAATCCCAGTACTGCAATCAATAATCAATAAATAGATAGATAAAATGATACTGTTGAGTGAAAAATGTAGTCTGTTCTGCTGTTTTGTTGGTACAACCGAAAACACGACTTGATTTACTTGAACAGATTTTCCATTGTGTTGGCATTGCATCATGTGTGATTGCTAATGTCACAGGGAGGAGGAGAGGGACATCGGGATGTTCAGTTTGGAACAGAAGGTGCCCCAAGAGAAGTTGCTTTGATCTCTACTGGGAGCCACTGTTCACAAGGAGGCTTCAGTGAGCGCTTTCTTCTCTGCCCCTTACTTGCTTCTGGCAACCTCCACAGCATCTCACAATTCTGTTCTTCCAAGACCATATTTCAAGAGAGACCCCAGCCAGAGTTAGAAGACATTCAAGAATCAGGAACCCTTAGAACCTACCCTCCACAAGTTAGCTGACATGCCAAATGCAGGAAAACGTCCCATGATTTAGTTCAGCTGACTCTGTGTCAAGAAAATAATGACTTGTGGGGCTTTTTGCCACATGTTACTGGACCTTGAAATATAAAATGCTTGTTTTCTCAGAAACTTTGCAGGATGATCTGAGAGGACCCCTTCAGGGATTAGAGGAATCTAAGTTGGGTTTCTGGCTCTGTCCAAGTTTTGCTTTGCCTCCTTGTTCTCCTCTGAAGATGAGGATAATGGCACAACCAGTTTCCTTTATGCTCTGTACCTGAACTATCTCCTACTAGTGGCTATGTTCCCAGGAACTCCTCTGGTTGGGAGACAGTCAGTCATCTATCTATTCAGGAAGTTCTGGAGGTCCTCCCTCTCCTGGGCAACACTGATTATATCAGAAGACAACTTTGGAGCATCACCAAGAGCTCTGGGGAGAGTAAATTAGCATTAGTTCTGTTCACAGAGTTTTGTGACAAACCCCTGAAGGCATCAATCAGTATGAAAGGTGAAACTCACCATTGTCGATGCTTCAAGTCCATGGCAACCACAATAACGCTTGCCATTTATATAGTCTTATACACATCCCAGTGCACTTTCATATTCCTCATCTCATTGTCATTTTCTCCTTGTGATATTTCTATACATAAGAGGCTATGATAGTCCCATGGTTTTGATGAGAAGCAGCTTGCCTATGATGGGAAAGGTGGCTCTTCTACCCTTGATCCTTTCTTTCCACCTCCTTCTAAAGTTTGCCTGCTTTCTCCACTGCACTCTTCTGTAATAGTTTTGCCTGTGATTTGCTAATGACTTGACAGTTCCGGTATGTTACTTAGGTAAAACACCTGCTTGTATAATTGCTGACATTAAAAAGTATGTCATGAGTACATCTGACAGTTAATTTTATTCAGAAGTTCCCTTCTGCCTCATAGATTCCTCTGAATTTGGGTTAATTAAGCTGAGGGTTTTTTTGGTTTGGTTTTTCTTTTTTTCCCTCTAGCAAACTGGTGATCCTCTAGGTTGAATCAGCAGCTGAGTTATCCTGAGGCTATGAGTGGTGACAAAGCCTCAGGGAATCCTCAATTCCTTTCCCCTTGGAGCACAAGATGACATGAGGGGTTTCTGGATACAAGTGACAGACTGTGCATGACTGCTTTTGACCATACACGTGTATCATCCTTCTCTCCTTTTAAAGCTATATGACTGATGGTGGACTCGGCCTTTACACCCGTCGCCTGAACCGACTCCCTGATGGGATGGCTGTGGTGCGGGAGACCCTGCAACGAAATACCTCCCTAGGCCTTGGAGATGCTGACAGGTAAGCTCACTCTACTTGAGGTTGGCCAGATGCACAGGTGATTCTAGACTGGCCTGAGAAATGAGGGTTGTGATACTGGGAGAGTGGATAGGGGCCTCTTTAGCCCAAAGAGGAGCCCTAGGTGGCCTTGATACAGTGCCTGGGGTCAGGAACCTGCACAGCTACTGGTCCTGAATCCTACTGCTATGTAGGGTGGTGCTTCTTGTTTGTTTGTTTGTTCTTAATGGTGCTAGAAATTGAACCTAGGGTCTTACCTATACTAAGGAAGCACTTTAACAGTAGCTACAGCCCCAGCCCCAGGGTGGTGCTTCTGACAACAAGAGTACAGAGAGTTCAGGTTAGGTAGGTCAGTTGTTTGTTGTTTTGACTGTTGCTACCCACCTCTGTCAGTTCAGCAGGCCCCAGGGATCTACTTTACTTCCTTGCTCATTAGTCAGCTTTCTAGGTATTGTACCTTATGACCTACGCACAGAGAGGACTTCTGGCCTTGACTGAGTAGCCTTTACCATAGGGTCTCCTGTTGCCTGGTAACAGGAGGCAAGGCTTAATGGTGCAGATTCATACACGACACAGAGTAGCTGACATTCTAAGGGCTAAGCCAGCCAGCTTCATTGCCATCACTATCAGAGAAGAAAAGCTTAATAACACACTACAATGAAGAAAGAAGGTGCTGGGGGCATGGCTCAAGTGGTAGAGCAACTTCCTGGCAAGCACAAGGTCCTGAGTTCAAACCTCAGTACTAGGGAAAAAATTTAAAAATGAGAACTATTTGGCCTCTAAGTTTCTAGTCCTAACTGACACAAACTCAATCTATGACCTTGAGCAACCTATTCAAGGAAGGATTTGGACTATATATTTCCAAGTTCCCTGACAGCACCAATGTGTTATATTTCTGGATTTCAAATATTTTTTAGTGATCTTGACTGTTTAAGGAGTTTCTGGCATACCTGACTTCTTTTCACATCTGGATTGATGAGATGTAATATGGAATTTAGATATAAGTAGCTTAAAGTAGCCATACATTTTTAGGATGCTCATCCTTAGGTTTCAGAAAGCCGGATAGTAACCCAAGATCACTTTTTCACTTCTTTCCTAGCAGGACATGCTTTTTATAAATAGCTGAATGACTTCTGTAGTTCTCTGGCTTCAGAGAAACAGGGCAGCACACTAAAGAGACAGACACTGAAATCATACCCAGCAGTGGTATTTACTAACTGGGAATCTTTAAGTTCCCTAGCGGAGGGATGGAAAATGTGGGCAGGTATGGAGAGCGCTGAATTCCTTGACAGGAACTTGGGATCTGGCCCAGTATATACCACTGAGTCCTGACTTGATTGACATGTCCTCCTCTGAGTTCCCAGTGTCCAAGGTGGTCATTTATATCAGGGATAGTAGAAGGCTATCCACCATAGTTCTAGCTCAAGACAGCTTTTTTTTTTTTTCATTTTTCTTTTATTATTCATATGTGCATACAAGGCTTGGTTCATTTCTCCCCCCTGCCCCCACCCCCTCCCTTACCACCCACTCCACCCCCTCCCTCTCCCCCCCACTCAATACCCAGCAGAAACTATTTTGCCCTTATTTCTAATTTTGTTGTAGAGAGAGTATAAGCAATAATAGGAAGGAACAAGGGTTTTTGCTGGTTGAGATAAGGATAGCTATACAGGGCATTGACTCACATTGATTTCCTGTGCGTGGGTGTTACCTTCTAGGTTAATTCTTTTTGATCTAACCTTTTCTCTAGTACCTGTTCCCCTTTTCCTATTGGCCTCAGTTGCTTTAAGGTATCTGCTTTAGTTTCTCTGCGTTAAGGGCAACAAATGCTAGCTAGTTTTTTAGGTGTTCAAGACAGCTTTTTAACATTTTCTGTAATTAGTAAAAGTACTTGTCTGAAAATTTCATAGAAATACAAACCATTGGAGAGATGCTCTTCCTAAGGTATAAACTCATTGTAATGAAAGTCTTTCTAGTAAATATTAGCAGGGGGAAAAAAAAAGTTGCTGCAACACCCCTACTGGAGATTTCATAGTTTACCAAATTATTCTGCTTATTTGTGTTCTCCTGTAATCATGTAATTGGTTAGTAATTCTGTTAGCATAAATACAGCCTTACAAGATATGTTTCCCCTTGTAGCAAAAGAAGAGTCTGGGCTAGGTGGGTTAATTTAATGCTTCATTGCAGGGTTAATGGAATTATTATGGATCACAGCTGAGCTTGTTTCTGCTTTTTGGAGATGGAAGATTTGGGGGCAGGGTTGGAAAGGTGGAGAGTGTTTGTTATGTTGTATTAGTTCTGCCTGTATGCGTGAACCAAATGAACAACAGTATCTTCTGGTTCTCCCCATACTAGATCATTGTGTCATCATTTAAGACTAAATGGGTAACCAGCAAAGTTTTAATGCAGGAACTCATGTGACTTTAAAAAAAAAATAGGATCTGGTAATTATAATAAATTTCTTTCTACTTTATATAAGTTCTGGCCTGTAGGCAGGGAGATATTTTACATTGTTTTAGAATATGCTAAATTTCTTTAATCTCCAAAATGAACAGATCATACAGATGCTTCATCTTTGGCAAAACTGAAACAGTAGTGGATTTGCTTCTATAAAATTCTCCATGTAAATATTTTACCAAAAGAATGTATTCTAGATGAGTGTTTCTTAAAGTGGGAGGCTAATGTTGATAATATAGGAAATAATTATAAATGGGAAATATTTCTATTTGGCATTATATTTTAAGTTTAATTAAAAAAATACTTACAGCTAACATATCAAACTCATGATTTTACAAATATTACTTCAGGTAAGAATAGTGTAGGTGTGAGACAATTGAAAAATGCCACAGATGGTGAATACACAAATGGCTGCAATTTGAGTAATACTGTTCTTCTCCCTATAATTAGAAATATGTTCTTTGAACAAATTAGATAAGTAACCAGAATTCTTCCCTAATGACCTAAAAAGCAAATGTCCAAGAGCTGAGATATTTCCAGGAATCTATATATAAAAAAAATTCCCAGTCCTTATGGATTCACACATAAGCAATATTTCTATAAAGGAAATAGGAAAAGTACTGAAGATTAGACCTGATTAGATCTCAGCGAAGGGAAAACTAGAATAAAAAAGGCAGAGTACCCTGTGAGTAAGAAAATCATTAACCTTAACCAAGGAGCTCAGGAGGACAGCAGCTATTCCTGAGACCTTAACGATGCTGACCTCTCTGACAGACCTTGGCTATTTGCAACAGGATGTGGCTGGGATATCTTTAAGTTATTAAAAGTACTGATAGGAATGTGTACCTTTGGGGGCCCAGAGATAGAGACCTTGTCAATTTGTGAGTCTTGTTTGTCACCAGCCAGCTTCTGAGAAGTAATAAAGGAAGATAGTTAATTCTGAATGCCAAGTCTCCCCTTGATCTCCCTTCACTCTTCAGGGTTGCCACCCTTGGGCTCCAGTTCTTTCCTGATAGTGATCAGTGGCTACTTCCAGCAGACTAGGTCCAGCTGGTTGAGAAGGGAGGATCAAAAGGGACAAATGAAGGTGGCTTATTACCAGTCATAGGCCCCAGATAACAGACAAATGAAGGGCACTGTGGGAAAAAGAAGAAATATAACAAGCAGGGCCAAGAGACTGAGCTGACAGTGAAATGGTTGGCTGACCTCTGCCACTTCTTATATGTACTTTGGTCTCCTCAGATCCCATTAACAATCCTTGAACTCCAGCAAGTTGGATGCTTTGAAAACTGAAAGTGTAGCTCTGGGGAAGTTTCCACTCTGAGCACCTTTCTCAGTCACTTCAGCATCACTGTCCTCAGCAGCCTTAATTGACCCTATCTCTTAGCAGACAATAGGATCCTATTTATGTCACTGGAAGCATGAGGATTCTAGCAGTCAGTCTCAGTGTGCACATAGATGAGGAAGTCTTTGGGACTTGGTAACTTTATTCCAAACCATTAAAACCATGATTGAACTCCAGTGTCTTTTATTAGTTGGGGCAATAAAGCTATATTACTTCAAACTTTCCAAAGACAAAGCACAAATGCTGTATGGTAAGTTAGCCTGAGATTTGAACAAAAAGAAAGCTACCCTCTGACATCATTCCAGGAAACCAAGCAAAAAGGAGAGGCTGTGTTTTTTTTCCCCTTGTGTTACAAATGTTTCATCACCTCCCAAATTATGCATGTGGGAGACACTGAAACTGCTCTTTCAGTGAAGGATTCAGAGTCACCATGCAGATTTCTCAGCCCTGGCACTGGTGCTCAGAACTGTCCCACTTTCCACTTGAATTGGGAGGTTGCTCTTCCACTGAGTCCCACAGTGTGAGGATGTAACTATGCAACCTGGTATTTGAGCGGCCTGCCAAGCTGAGCCTTCCTTCCTCATCCAGAGTGTCACAAGAGCCCCAAGAGCCCATGCACTGCTTAGCTTTGTGATTTGTGTGGAACAAAGTGGCCCTTCTGGCACTGAGCAGTGCGTTCACGGACTCGGGCCCAGCCTAGAGGACAGTGTTTAATCCAGGCCAGAAGGCCCCAGCTCATAGGTAGAATGGTGGTGATCCCTTATAGGGGTTGGTCCCCAAACCACTTGGTTTTTTTTGTCATGGTACCTGCTGGCTCCATAGAAGAGAAGGAATGTAACAAGAGATTTCTTTCTTCATGTTCTAGTCCAAACCTGTAATAGTTATTATTATCATACCCTAAATGTCTCCATCGTTGAGTCTCCAGAATCTGTGTGTGTGGTTGTGTTATCTGGCAAGGGGGGGTTATGGGGAGATTACTCTAGATCATCTAGAGGGGCCCCATGTGATCATAAGGTCCTTAAAAGTAGAAGGGGGAAGCAGTAGAGAAGGTTAGAGTAATGCCCTGTGAGAATTACTTGGCCTGCCTTTGCTAGCCTGGAAGATGAAGAAGAAGACCACAGTCAAAGAACTCAGGTAGCCTCTGAGAGGGGACAGGCAGGGCATGTGCTTCCCTGGGGCTTCAGAAATGAATGCAGACCTGCTA